TATATATGATGGGTTTAACATTAAAGAACAGTTAATGTGATATATGCTTAAAAGAAGCTAGTTATGCTAACAGCAGTGCAATAGTGTGATGTTGAAGTATGTTGAAGTATGGTGTAACACAGTGAATCAAATACAGTGTATATGATATGATATAAGCTGTATATTGTAGGGGCCATACAAAATAAACATTCAATCTAGTATAACTGTAAAAAGAGAGCAGTAAAAGCAGAATATCAGAAATAATATGGTATTGGGTGGTAAATTACATCATATGTATATTATGTAGAATGATACTGAATAGTAAATTCAACAGTAAAACATTAATTTAATAGATTGCAAAAGTCTCAAATAAATTAAAATATCAAATATCAAATACAATATATAAATATATATAAAATGTGTCAAATATAAGCTAATTAGTGAGTTGAGGAGACCAAAATAAGACAATATTGGTCCTACATTCTTTCAGGAGACACAAACACAGCTCCAAATAAATGTAAATGTTGCAGTTTTTCTCCCTAATTGTGAGAGAATTTTTTTTTCTTGCATGCTTGCCACAGCAGCTCTACAAAGTGCTTCCACTTATTGTTCTAATAGACACACAAACACACAAGCTGTGCAACACTGCTGAGTTCACACTTAAGGCTCACACAGGCAATGTTGCATTAACTTTGCTTTCAAGTCTGCGCTCTTTCTCAATGATGCGTTAAGAAGGAGGCCTGATAGTTGAAAAAAAAAAAAGGCCATTATCCATCAAAGCCCAACGCATTAAACCTGACAGAGAGGATTTAGGAAAGCAAAGGGGATAAATCAAAATGCTGCATTTCAAGCTGACAGGCATGGAGTAAGTGAAAGAGTTGCACTGTTAGTATGAATGTGTGGAGGTTAGCTTGATTTTACACATAAATTCCACATAACATTGTATGCTAAAGTCAAGAAAATTCACAAAGGATTGTGGGGATTATGCAGGTACTTAATCTGTGCAATGAAGACACTGTGAGATATTATGTAATTCTCAAAGGATCTGCAAAGGGTTAAATATACCCTGAGCAGAGATTTCATGAAAATAGCGTCTTTTTGCGGTAGTGGAATTTGCATTCATTAAAACTAGCCAAGATGGCACAAACGCCTCCCCTTTCAAAAAAATAAGTACTAAGCTACATACAGTAGAATGCAGGTTATTTGTATTCAAAGAGATGGCGTTTAATGAAATGCATTCTTCGTGCTGAAATGCCTACATTGTCCAGTGATGGTGGAAGCTTTGTTACGGTGACTGGGAGGTGAAAAACAAATTAACAAAGTGACACTTTTACAAAATGTAAGACAGATGTACATTTTGAAAAACATTTACAAGTTTACAAGATGTCAAACACTTTTACTATCGCTGAGACAAATTGAGCTGCATACGCTGCACATACAATAGAGGGCACCAGAGACATGATGCCATAGTTTCAATCATTCTATAATAAGCATTGGCACTGTTTGCAAACTGTTCTAATATTGCTGTTAGTGTTGAAAGCAGGAGTTAGGAACATCCACAAAGTCTCACTTGTTTTCCATATGTGCATACATACAGTACAAAGTACGGTGGCTGGGAAGTGCAAAACTAAGTTACAAAGCGTGAAACACTTTTGCAAGCGCTGAGACGAATTTACAAGTGGCAGAACACTTTTAGCTGTCCCCAAACAAATTTACAAACGACAGAATCTTGACGGAAAGGAAATGTACCAAATGCAGGAAGTGATTGAGTCGGTCATTTTGTTTGTTGAAAGACAAGACAAACAGTGATATGAAGTAATACAGAGTTTGTGGTTACAGGAAGATGTTTTGCCTGTTTTGTGGAACTCATTTGAGCCAGATTACTCAGTTTTGCTTTTCGTGTGGATGGTCTCTCAAACTTTTAAAGGAGACAAATGAGATGGAAGGACCATATTTGCACTTGTCTTTCCGTCTAAACAAACAAAATGACCGACTCAATCACTTCCTGCATTTGGTACATTTCCTTTCTGTCAAGATTCTGTCGTTTGTAAATTTGTTTGGGGACAGCTAAAAGTGTTCTGCCACTTGTAAATTCGTCTCAGCGCTTGCAAAAGTGTTTCACGCTTTGTAAATTAGTTTTGCACTTCCCAGCCACCGTACTTTGTACTGTATGTATGCACATATGGAAAACAAGTGAGACTTTGTGGATGTTCCTAACTCCTGCTTTCAACACTAACAGCAATATTAGAACAGTTAGCAAACAGTGCCAATGCTTATTATAGAATGATTGAAACTATGGGATCATGTCTCTGGTGCCCTCTATTGTATGTGCAGCGTATGCAGCTCAATATCATTTGTATGCCTGACAGCTCAACAGAATACCGATTTGTCTGATAGATCTATGTGCAGTGTTAATACCTGTGCAATCTGAAGCTGTCTGAAACGGCTGCACGCTGCATAAAGATTTCCAGTTATGACGGATGGTCAGTAAAAAAAAAAACATTTAAGGAGCTTCAAACTAAGATGTTCTTATCAGGGACCCCTCTCTGTCAGGATCTAGAAAAAAAGCAGTGGTTTCCATTAAATGTCAATGAGCATACCAGGATCAGGTTCTGCCCTGCTGATTCTGGCCTATAGTTTGATAGTGTTACATTTGTGCAGTCAGCTGTTCAGTCAGCCCTGTTTTAACTTAAGAAGAAGAAGAATTTCCAGAGCTGGGCACACGTCTGTTAATCTGTTAATCTTTATTTATCTGCGCTAATTTTTTCAGTAAATTCTTGATCGTGGACATAATCTCTCTGTGCTGTTAAAGAGAGGAAATACTAGATTTTTAAAATTTGCTCGGTTAGGTTTAGGTTAAAAAAAATGATTTGGGTTACAATAAGTAAATGGTAAGGCTTTCTTTATCATCATGGTAACGATATTAAACAATGTCTCCAGATCAGTGCACAATAATGATATGGATAAACGAACGCCACCTTCAACTCGACATCTCAAAGACTGAGATTCTTGTCATCCCAGCCGTCTGCAGAGTCTGATTGCACCTTTAAGAAAAAGCTAAAGACCCAGTCTTTCATGAACATCTACAGTACATAATGATATTGTTGATGATGACAACATTTATGATGGTTTTGTTGCTGTTTAGAACTCCAAAATAAACACAGCTGTCAATGTAGCTGTTGATGACGATACACTGTGTTAAGTTTCAATTTATTAATTCTCCTCTCTTCATCCTTGCATGTGTTTTACTTATTCTCAGATGTCTGTAGCTTTGGATAAAATCCTCTGCTAGAATCGTTCAATCATGATGAAGGCTTTAAAGTCATCAACTGTGTTTTTAAAAATTTTGAAACAAAACTTCTTTTATTGGAGCTGTCATGGTCACAGCACCATCAGTGACGGCCACCTGGCAAATCCTCTTTCTTTTTTTTGCAGAGGCTTTCATAAAAATTTCTGCGTAAAATTGCTCTGAAAAAAAAAATCAAGAGAAGTTCATTTGAATAGACTGATTCACAGAGCAGATGAAACCGTGGAATCTCAAATTGGAGATAATTATGAACATAATTACAGCTTGATATTAGATTGAGGCACAGTGTTCTCTGTTCATGGTGCTGAAAGTGGGATTTGGAGCAGATGAAGAGATGCAAGCACAGAAGCACTAAATAATAGTGCTGGATAATTAAAGCTGATCATAGCCGAAATCTACCTGTTCACGGATAACCATTCATTTTGTTTGGGTGCTAATGCAGCTCCCTCAGGGTGCATTCACAGGTCAGACAAACAGAGCGTGTGAGTACAACTTGTTCATATCACTCAAATGTAGAGAGCAGCTGAGGGACTCTTTAAACTAACAAAGATTTATTGTACAGGTAGGCCAGTGGATAGAGTTGGAGATTCGGAAGAGAGAGTGGGGAATGACATGAGGGAAAGCAGCCACAGGTTGGAGTTGAACACAAGCCACCCGCTATGAGGACTACAGCCTCTGTTCATTGGGCACGCAGCCTAATCACTCAGCACCCTAACAAAGTTTTTTTCCTCCTGAATCAGCAGGCAAGTTATCAACCACTTCATACATGAATTGATCACCTGTGTTTTGGTAATGGGCTTGAGCTTGTAAAGTCACTACACATTCACTCACTGAAGGCAGAGGCTGCTATGTAAAGTGACCATCAGTATTAACAAATGCCTTCAGTCACATGTCTACACTGGGAGGATCTTGGGGTTAAGTGTCTTGCCCGAAGACGCATTGAACATGTGGCTGCAGGAGCTGGGGATCGAACCCCCGAACTTCTGGTTAAGAGACGACCTACTCTACCAACTGAGCCACAGCTGAAAATGAAACAGCATTTCAAGCTAGGAATATCTCTTCATTAAAAACCACTGAAGGAAGGAGGAATTTGTTTCTATCTGCATCAACATCAGCTTTGATATGATCAGACTTACTATTGCAATATCTCCTCAAATGAGAGAGGGATTTTCAGCACAGAACAAATCATGATCTAAATTCATTTTAATGGCCCAGGGGTGACACTGTGAGAAAAAATTCAGAAACATAAATCAACCATAATATGGGGTGCAATCAAGGCTGCTTATATGTATAAATGTATCCACATAAATAAATCTAAATCATTAAACATTACACATGCATTCCACAAAATTGAGACGGGACAAAATCTAAAAAGGACAAAACAGAAATGGATGCTGTTGCTAATTAATAAGTGAACAACATCAACAGCTCGCTGTGTTAGCTCTGAAATGATGTTGCTTCATCACAATTGAAAAAGTGCAGGCAGAGCCTCAGGACACAGGCATGGTGATCGATATAATTGCCCACAAGGAAGAGATGGTTGGTCAGCCCCGAATTAAATTGGGCCAATTTTTTACTTTTCGATGTATATGACCAACTTGAGTAACAACTCATAAGAAAGCACCGTGCAGATTTGCAGCTCGCACTTGAGTTCTGCTTTAAAAGAAATCAGGTAACTATTAACTAATGACTGTATTGTTCGTCTTCCACTTACCTTGATCTAGATCATACTCCTCCATGGTGCTGACAAAGTGAGGTCTGGAGTAGAAGTTATGTGGTCCTGGTTGCTGGAGGCCCCCCAGGCTGAAGAGGCTTCGCTCATTTGTGGCACAGCAGGAGAAGGCCCTCCGGCTCGGGATGCAGGGGTAACGTGTCCAGCTCTTCGTCTCCAGGTCAAAAGCCTCCAGCGCCGTCACCGGCAACTTTCCCTGTCGTCCACCTGCAGGAAGAATGAAATGTTCTTGTCTTAACACAATCGGGTTTTTACAGCTTTTCTGTCAAAATCTCCTGGGGGAAAAAATGCTGTAAAAACCTGCTCCATCACAGCAACACATTTAGTGTTTTCTAACATGAATAACGTCTAATAAGCGATATACATTTTGAGGAATATGAACATGTACAATAAAGATGTGACATTGTTTGTCCTTGTTTCAAAAACCCTGCTTCCTTTAGTGCTTTTTCTAATCCCCTGCTCCTGTCACAAAGTTTCCTGGGTATTAACATCAGAGTCTGGCGAGTGTGCAGACGAGCACCGGACCACTTTTCATTTTGGAGTGAGAGCGCAGCACAGCAGCGGGGTGCTCCCCTAGGACACTTACAAGTTGTTTACTTCCACAAATCACAACTTAACCTTGTGAAAGGCGTACAAGGGGAAGGCAAAGTGATGAGAGAGGGGGCAAATTGCAGCAATAACAATGTGGATTATACAGAAAAGGGAGGAGAGGGGAGTCTCATGTCAGTGAGGGGGATGATGTAAGAGGGGTCTTTAAGGTGGGGAAAAAAAAAAAGGGGACGAAGAGAAAAAGGAAGGAGGAGAACCTGAGAGGAATACACAAACAGATGGTGAAGAAGAAAGAGGCTAAAAAGACTAAATGGGACGATGACAGGGAGAAAATGTGCAAAAAGTAAAACAGGAAAGAGATAGGATAATGTGGAGGAGGGAGAGAAGAAAGTGGAAGAGGGTCAACCGGAGTGGGCGGGGGTGTCGCGGAGATCGATAGCGATAGCGAGACAAAGAGTCGAAGTGAGTGGGAAGCATTAGAGTCAGAGACATGTGAGAGAAAGACGAAAAATCCTGCTAAAGGATGTGTTCATTGAAGTAGAAATGTTCAGTTCCGATAGACCCCAAAAATTCTCATTCAAACAGATGTCATGTATGCAGTAAACGGTATATTCTGCATACAATTTAATGGAGCTCACATTCAGTGGTACTTAAATAGTCCATGTCGTGATGCTGCATCACTTACTCCGTGATAAGAAGCCCATAATCAGTCAGCACCAAACTCAACTCAGCACTGATAAGACATCCTGTGAAATGTAAGTAATTAAGAGAACTGAGTGAGGAATAAACATGGAAACAAAAGGACAATGACGTCTGATTGGACATTTCAAAGAAATATATACATATGTTTGAATAAGAAGTTTGATAAGCTACGGACAGAAGGCACTTTGTTCTGTTCAAGTTATTAGTCACCACAGACTCATCCTACCTTACTCTGTGCAGTGACAGACGGTGTTGCTTCATCCATTGTTGTGTTTGCACAACAACTATTATTATTGCGCATACACTATTATTATCCATAAATTCAAAGCTGACTCATCTTCATTGTGCATCTTTTTTTTTGTTCCATAACTGGACTGGAAAATGAGGTTACAGTTCTTAACCCTGCCTTTTGTTTTGATGCTAAGCTAATTCACTCTCTGTTCTAGTAGTCTACCAGTACATCAGGCAATGTTAAAGCTTGAATATCTTGAACTTGAAACAACGGTGTGGACTAAAATTTCTCTCTCTCTCTGCACTCACATCATATGTCACTGTCTGTAAATCTTCCTGTACCATGTAACCTGCTTTTTTGTAATATATTATAACAAAGAGTAAGGTCTATTACATGCTCTTTTGTAAAGTGTCTCGAGATAACATTTGTTATGAATTGGCGCGAATTGAGATCAGAGGTTTGGGTTCAGCTTTAGCAATTAATTTAGAAGCGTAGTGTGCGTTTGTACGAGACAGCTTGTGCTTGTTAGTCAACATGGTTGGAAAGAGGGCAAGCAGTAGCTGATTATGTATTAAATTAGTTTTTAGAGCAGTAACAGAAGGTGGGGAGGAACAGAAAGTACTACGACTCCAAAACTTTCTGACAAAGTTTGTAAATATCAAAAAACTGAATTTAATTTCCTGTGTCATCCAGTTATGTGTAACTATCAACTATCAACTTCATTGACTCACAGTTGATGGAAAATTGGTTTGTGAAAGAGTGTTTTGAGTTGCCTGAGTGAAAAAAGGGGTTGATATCACAGAGGATGGATTGCAGACCACTGATAGCAGCATGAATGCACATCACCTGCCACTGCCATCTGCACCGTCTGAAAGTACATCTCACAAAATGTACTGAATATCTTTCAGCACAAACACACTCATGAGGTTTTGCAGATCGTTGTGATTTGCTCTTGTTATCTGGCTGGTTGTGGAGGAAAGCTGTCAGCACCTTCAGTAATGTGGGCGGACAGAATTCACTTTTAACCAAATACAGACAATGAGCTGGGAGGGGTCATCTTATTTTAGAGTTTGTGTCAAAATTTAAAAAAAGATTACACACAAAGGAGAAAATGTTGTCATGATCACCTGGAAATATGTGCTTGACAACCTTACTGTGCTGCTGTTTACAGACAGAACTCATCTCACTGTGTGTGTGGGGCTGTTAGCGTTGTTGGTGTGTGAATTCAACGTGTTTTACTGGAAGGTTCAATTAGCTATAAAGGGACCAATTTTAAAATGAATAGGTATGCACATAATGGTCCATTGAAACACATGCAAACAGCACTGGAACACTTTGGGTGCGTTTATCTTTTAGTGTGTGCTTTGAGAATAAGATGGATCCTTTTTGTCTTATTTGCTAAATAATAGGCCACAAAAGCCTCAGAGATGATATTGTGATGAGTGATGAGAGTTAGGCTTCTGCATTCACACTGTAAGTGTACAACGTGCAGAGGGAGGGGGCTGCCCGCAGTCTTGTGAGGCTCCTTGCACGACCGGCTGCGTAATGACCGTAATTGTAAATATACGTGACTTTTTATTATGATTGTTTACACAAAGGCCCAACTGGGGACACGAGTTGGAAATGAGCAATAGCTATATACTCTTTATGCAGCACATCAGTTTCATGCTTTGTATTGAATGTTAAATTGCATTGTCCCTATTAAATAAATAAATTCAAATCAAAATGTACTGCTGTATACATGGTAGTTACTGGAGGGCACAGCAGAAGGCTTTGGCCTCCCTGATGTGTGGGATTAAAACTACAAAAATGGCCATACTCCAGGAGGTTCAGAACTCGCATAACAAACATCAGTAATAAAAAGTGACATCAGATCAGCTCAGGCAGCTGATGACTGATGAACAGTAAACACTGTCACTACAGTCAGCATCCTGGTTCATTAATGTTTTATTCCATGAATGCATGAAAGGGTCCCCGTGTGTCAGTTTAATGAGTGATCATGTTAACTGGTGACTTTCAGCCGAATGTGTCGATAGATGTGGTAGTTAAAGGATCTTTTAAAAAAATGGAAACTGTCCTTGCAAATGCCTCTTTTTGAAATGTTTTAATATAATGTCAGATATACTGATCTTATAGGTATTGAATGAAACAACTAAACAAATACAAATACAGCCACAGGCACACTCAGTCGAAGTCAACAGTTTACACAGGGTCACTCATTGAACCAAAACACCGGCCCCCGGTCTTGCGACTCAAAAATCGGGCTTTAATTGGCCTGAATTCTCACAGTGTATGCCGAGCCATTAAGGGAACCAGGAGGCCTATGTCAGACGATCTAAGTGGCCTGGAGCAGAGTGCATTAGCTGAGCGTACACCTTCATTTAACGTTAAGTCTGACTTAGAGTTCAAACTTGTACCCTGTGCACTAGTTGAACTTAAGCCCTGTTTAAGTTGCACATGGGTGTAACTTTCACATCCAGGATGGAGCAGAGGCAAATAAGAAAAAGACAAACTGTCATATAACTTTTTTTAAAGCCTGTGTTTGACAGAAATGCAGCATGGCCCCCCGACCTTGCAGATGTTGATTGCTCTAAGAGCAATTTGTGTTGTGTCTGCAAGATACCTTGTGCAGAAAGTTCTAGATATATGAGCCCAAGTTCTGTTTATACACCAAACTTTATGTTTCAGGAAATTAAAATTGAATCACCCCTGACTTACTGAAAACATTTTTTTTCAGCTGCTCTTGTCTGCTGCCTACAAACCCTGACACTGCAGCAACATCTTTGATTTAAATTGCATTCACACACAGAGACACCCAAGAGATTCAAAGCCATACGAGCTCTGATGAGCTTCATCATATGCTAGTGAGTCTGCTGCTGCTGACTGGGAACACAAAGAATTTATCAAAGAGGTTTCAGGCAACAACTGATTCAAACCCCTCGAGGAGGGAGCAGCGGAAGAGGCAATTTACAGTAAAAACTTTCTCAAGCACAAGTAAACAGACAAAACATTACAAAACGTGACAGAGATAAAGAGGGAGAGACAGAAAGACGAATAATGACATGGATTTCCAATTATGAAATAAACAGCGTGGAAATCACATTATTATGTTTGGACGTTGCTCACAGCTCTGTGTGTGATGGGACGTAATTTGATTAAACTCCCATTTGTATAATCTTGTGTGCTTGTTTTGCCCATGTTGATGCACTTTCCACTCGTCGTCCCTCTTTGTCCCATGGATTTGCCCGGCATCATTAGCTTCAGCCACACCATGATGAATTAGCTCGCCAGTCTGCAGACACATTATGGATGTGTTGTTTTGGGGAACTGCTCTTTTTAATTGATCAGTTTCATTTTTAATTCCATTTGAATTATTTTTCCCAAACTCAAATGTGAAGGCACATACACCACTTCACCCAGAGCTTCATGTGTGCTAAACTAAGAAATGAGACTTGCTAGGTTAAAATGTTTAGCTAGTTTTTGTTCAAAATCGTTGAGAAATCTCTGTTTATATGAATCTTTGTATGGTTTTACAAATATCCTTCTTTGCTCCAATATCTAGGCTACATTGAACAATCATATGTAAAACAAGCAACGGTTAACTTGTAGCTGTTCAGTCGAGGACTCTAAAACAGCTAACCTTGCTCTTCCAGAAGTAAAAAAAAGAAATAAAATAAAAAACACCAATCAGCATCTCTAAAGCTCAACGGTAGAAAAGCAACCAATTTGGCATTCAGTGAGATAACGTCTACCAGACTGTGTGTTCAAACGGTGAGTTTCTGTAATCTCTACACGTTCTGAGCAACTTCTCAGGATTGTCAATTTCCAAGACTCTTTGAAAGACAGAAAGGAAATGTACTTACTAAAATGTCAAGCTTTTATTTTGTAAACTGATAGACATAGAGGGGGAACATTTACCTTTAACAACATTTATCTTTAAATTAAAGTGTGTTAATGTGTAAAGGGACAATGGTGACGCTATGATTTAAAAACAAAATTTAATTGTTAAACAAAATAAATGATCATTTAGATTTAGAACGTCAGTATTTTAAAGTTTAGGATACACGTCAATAAAGACTTTATTATGCCCAGATTATGTGCCGCTCTGTCTGCTTTGAGGTTGTAATGATGATAAAAACAATTACTTCTGTAGGGGTTCATGAAAATGGTTAAAATAAATCTTAATTTTTGACAACAATATATCACTTTTTATATTCATGTGGGTTCTTATCAGTGGAATTACAGAATTAGTTTGTGCTTGGACAAACATGTGCAGTACTTCATCAACTGTTCCCATGCACTTTTGCATGTTTCCTGGAGTACCAAATGCCATCTATGTAACATTTGCACTCCGACATAGGCAGCACAGTTATGTATGCATGCAATGATTCCTCTCATATTTCTTTATTGAACGGCATGGGCCCTAGCTTCACCAGCTACAATCAGGCACCTCCAATCCTTACACAATCAGTGACAGCAAGTGCTTGACAAAAAGTCTGTCCAATTCCTTCACTCTTAAATTCTTAAAAGATGCAATCTACTTTGAGAGCTTTTCTCCTTTTTGTTTTTCTCAAATTGTGTCAACAAAGCTCCTGCTGTTTGGAGATTACAGCTACTGTCTGCTGAATGTCAATTGTTGCTTGTATGGTGTAGTGAAACGATTTCATCTCTTGGCAAGATGCATCTTCAGTGGAATAAAATGATCACAGTCTGCCCTATGAGTCCAATTTCTCTCCCAGCAGTGGTGTAAAATTCTGACCAAGTGTCATTGAGCAATAACAACCCCCCCAATGAGGCACAATAAAAACACAAAGCAGTGTCTGTATGGGTGTCACTCTCGCTCTGAAAGAAAGAAACAGCATCTGTACGAAACAAACATTCCCTTTCCTTTCCTACAGAGCAGCTTTTAACTCCAACTCTGTTCGCTCGATCAATACTGAACCAAGACTGAATGACTCCTTGGACCTGTGAGTCACATTTTTATTTTCTATTGGTTCCTCTCACTCCTGTAAAACCAGAAAAATAAAGACATGGAGCTCAGAGATGTCGATCTGAAAACATAACACTGTAAATCTCTACACACACAGCTCACTGTGCAACAAAGTAAAACAGATGGATAAAATCATTAAGTTGGACTGGACAGAGTTCATCACAAGTTTTAGGTAGAATGACTAACTTCCTGTCACCCTCACTATAGATCTCCCTGAGTGTGATTCCAAGGTGCAAAAGAGGTTGAAAAGCCACAATACATGGGCTTTAAACTATAAAATTAAAATACATGAGAAATTAAAATATTCTCAATCCAGATTCTGTCGGGATGGTTTGACATTATCACGCTGATTTGTGTGCTTTTTTTTCTGAAAAGTTTAATTTAATCAGTTATTCGATGCAACAACAAAAAAAGGTATAATTTGCACCAATGGCCTAGCGGTAAGGTCGAGTCCAATGTACAGACAATATAGTGCTCAATGCGGGCAGCCTGGGTTCAAGCTCCTGTGGCGCTGTGTGCACCAGATTAGCAGAGCAGAGGAGGAACACTGAGAGGCAATGTAACAAACATTAACACATGAATCAAGGAGTGAATGGGAAATGGACTTGAGCTTGTATAGCACTTTGCTAGATTTCTGACTACTCAAAGCACTTTTATACCGGAGGTCACACATTCACACCCATTGACACTGATGGCTGCTATGTAAAGTGACCATCAGAAGTAACTAATCCCATTCAAACACATTCATACAAAGCAGATGATGGCCGAAATTTTCGCTAAGAGTGTTGCGCAGGAGTTTATCTCAGGCAGAATTTATTTTGATAGGTGGGATGGCTTTTAAAAACTGGAAACTACAAAGTGTCATGGTGAATTAAACATCGAAAAAAAAAGAATAATGAGATGATTTGGTTTCTTACCCATCAAGAAGATTTTGTTTCCTCTTACGAAGGGTGTGGCTCCATACCGAGGTGTTGGCATTGAGGTCAACGGCTGCCATTGGTCCTTCTCTGCATCGTAAACCCTCACCAGAGCCTGAGGTGTCGTGTCGGCTCCCATACCTCCAAACACGTACACCTTTCCATCTGCAGACACACAACACAGACACACTGTGTATTAACAGCTTTCAAAGAGCTTATTATAATTTACTTTCCTGGCACAACAAAGCGGTCGATAGACATTTGCTCTCCAACTTGGTGTAAGGTTAATGGGAGGTGAGTGAATTTTTAAAATGCTGCCAACACCTCTGCCAGCAGCCAGACACAGATGCATCATGGTGCCCTTTTTGTTCCGCCATTTCTGGTCCACTATCTGTCTTATCCAATATTTATGCCCATGGGCCGAGAAACTTTCAGATGACCCTCAAATGACTTTAACACAGGGACTGACGTAAACATTCCCGGCGACTGCAGTGTCATTACAATATTCAGAGAAGCAAGAGGAAGGAAGAGAGGAAAGGAAAAGTGCTGAGCAAGCAAACCCTGTGATTCTGCAGAAGCACAGTGGCGAGAAAAAAAAGAGGGAGAGGGAGGAAACAAGAAAGGAAGGGAGAGAGGAGGAGAAATCATAAGAGGGGAGGACAGAGGAAGAGGAAACACGAGGAGAGGAGGAGAAAGAGCAACATTATCTTTTAAAAGCCCGTCAACATTCTCAGTTATGTCAAGGAGAGGAAGTGAGACACGGAGGGAGGAGAGAGAGTATCTCAGTCACCCTGACAGATGACAGATCCACAGAGCTGTGACTTAAACTGTGAAGAATAGAGCAATAATAAATCTGTCACTCAAAGTGCTGCTCAGCATGAGAGGGATTTCTGCAAAGTTGAGCAGTTACGCCTGAATCCAATTTAAAAAAATAATCGACTTAGCAAGGACACTTGTAACAGAAAATGTGCAGGGCAACACCTGTGGAGAGATGAGACGGGGCAGGAATGAAGAAAACTATCCGTGGAAACTCCTGTTTTTAGATTTTTTTAAAATCTAATCCATACCTGGAGATCAGTGGGTTCAGACACAAACACTGTAACTGCAAAGGGTCACACTTAACCAGCAAGGAGCAAAGCTGGTTTGTATTTCCACTAGTTTATTTATATTTTTTGGAAATGTTCCTTTTTTAATTGCATAATAATAATCTACATTGATTGGTCTCTGAAGCTCTAAAGCTGCACACACCAAAAGCACACTTAATTTGTCGTGCAACCAAAGTACATAGAAAGTCAATTGCATGACACGAAATAAATGCAAAATGTTGCAGTTCAAAAGACTTGGGTGATGTCACCCACTGATTTGGGAAACTGAAGCCCTGGATTGGCGGTTGCCATATTGGAAAAGCTGTCTCACACTGACTTTCGGTCGGTCTAGAAAAAGGCAAAAAGGTGGAGTTGAGAAAAACGTAAAGCCCTTAGAAAACAGCTATAACGAGCCGCCTGTCAGTCAGTTCAGCTACACCCCAATCATTCATAACTCTTACCCTAAATAAATCAAAATGGGTGATTGATTAAAAAAAAAAGAAGTCACACCTGCAAAGTGTGTGCAAACTGAGTCATGAGCTATTCAGCAGTTAAACCAGGAATATGCATTTTAATTTGGGTGTTATTGGAGCCATTCTCAAGTTGGCGATTTAAGAAATGCTGATTTTTGCACGTCATGTTGGCTTCATTTTTCAACACAGGAGGTTTCGGCTCATCTAAAAATCACACAATAAAGAAGAAAAAAGACAAATTTCACATTGTTAACATAGAGATATTGCTTTAAAAAAAATTATAAAGTTAAGTGATTTTCTCGTTTTCATCTTCTGAAATGGGTATCTATTTAAAAAATATTTGAATAATTCTAAGAAACAGCAGTGTTTAATGAGAACGGTTGTATAACTGTATAGGTCATTCTAAATGTTAATGAGGGTTCATGGGTGTAAAATGTAATTAGCATACTGTCAAAACGGCCTTGAGAGGGCATTGATTTTGAATTAATTAACTAATGTGTGTGTTTCTGTGTGTGTGTGTGTGTGTGTGTGTGTGTGTGTGCGTGTGCGTGTGTGTGTTTCTGTGTGTGTATACCACAGGGATACAGTGAAATGATACTCAGCTGTATCCTCAGTGATTTTTTAGCTCATGATTCCCTATAATTACCTCTTTGTCATAAAGGGGGGAGGGGGGGGGGGGGGGGGGGACAGACTGACTGCAGTGACAATGGAACATTTCTCCCACAATGTCTGTGTGTGTCAAAGGTCCAGATAAGATGGACGGATAAAAACGAAGGATCCAGTAGATTAAAAACACAATCATGTATGCACAGTGTGTATGTGTCAATCTGTTAATGTCTACAATAGAACAAATTACATCTCATACAGGATGTGTGTCTCTGGATAAACCATTTAACAACTGCACAAAGAAAAATAAACGCCAAAACGTCTGTCACACTAAATTGCTTTTGCTTGAGCTTCTGCTCTTCCAGAATGCTCTTTTGTCTGAGCGGTGGCATTAAATGAGAACCTGTTTCCCTGAGAGGAACAAGCATTTACATGCCCAGAGGAGAGCCCATCAGATATAAAGAAGTCTCATAAATGTGTGCTATGGGGGTATACAGCTTTTATCACACAATATATCACAAGATGTGCCGCCTTCCTTATCTTTCACCTGCTTAGACATATGTCAGAATATGCAATTTTAGTATAATGGTGCTGTGTATTATTTTCTATTAAATTGTCACCGCCAACAACTGGTCTGGAATGTATCCTATACTGTTTTTTTTATCGTTTTTGCGGACCCGTGTGCACAGCAGCTTATATCAGAATGTTTTAGTGTGAATGTGGCCCTTTCTTAAAAGGACAACGACTCTCCTCCCAACATTTCCTGTCTCTCTTCTGCTGTCTTATCTAATAATGGCCAAATGGCCCAAAAAATATTTTTAAAAAAACAACACAAAAATAAAATCTTGTTTTCAGAGGATCGTTCTGGTGTAAATGAAGCCTAAAACTTGAGAAAAACACAATGAAGTTACGTCCAACAATTTAAGAAAAGAACAGCTTAGTATATATCAGTGTTACTCATTGCGCGGCTCGCCGAGCTTTACCTTGCGGCTCGCTTGGCAGTAACTAATTATTAATGCAGGGAATACAGATGTTTCACTCAAAACAAGCGCTATTACATGTTACCCTTTTAAAACATTTAAACTACTGCTCTTAATAAAATAATTCATAAAAATACTCAAAACTGAAATTACAAGAACGGTGTTAAATAGACTAATGTTAGAAACAAGCTGTTCGGCACTGCAATGACTCCAGCAGTGTTGCCAGATTTGGTGGCCTATCCAGCACTATCATGGCAAATGAGCTGCAGGACGGGTAACTCAATTGTGGACTGGTGTAGAAAATAAATAATTTTAAGTCATTAACAATATGTCATGCATACCCTCATCAATGGCTTGATAGTTTTCACAAAAATATTTGGGCTTAATAAAAATATATTGCTCAATTGGAAGACACCATGACCAACCTGCCAACACAGCACAATAGCGTCATAACAACAATAACTCGGCTAGAGCACATGGCTTTTTCAACATTCATGTGAGTCAACATTCTTTACCATGAACACTATAAAGAGGAAACAGAGAAATCGCCTCACCAATGCACATCTTGAATGCCTCACAAGGATTGCAACCTGCTTTTAATTAGGATTGTATTGCCTGCATTGTATAATGTATGTAATGGGATGACAAATTAATAAGCAGATATGATTTATACGACTGGAGGTGGCTTTTGATAAACCGTGGTAAAAATGGCTCTCCCAGTGACTTTGTCCTGTCGGTATGGTTCTCAGAAAAAATAGTGAGGATCACTGGCATATACAGATACTCTCTCAGCTTGTAAGAGAAAAAACAACCTCAACCATGTCCTTTTAAGACATGGTACAGCTATTCTCCTCCAGACTTTGAGCCTCTAACCTCAACACTGATGCTGAGAACAGGCTGTGAAGGACATTCATTTAATCTGCTTGTAAACCTCATCTTAGTCTTCATGTCATTGCCCAAAGCTTGTGAGCAAATGTTCAAACACACATCGACCGGTAAATTGAGCACTGCACCCTTTAGCTTGGCTACTTCTTCACCTCTGCGGTACAGAGTTCCCATTATTGCTGAGGCGGCACCAATCTGCATGTCAAGGAGACTCGCTTCATGACTTAACCTTCTGCACTCACTCCGTCTTCCAGTCCTCTCAGAGAAGTTACATTTGACTTTTCTTTCAGCAGACAGGGTACAGCATGCTGAAGCCCACACGGTGCCATGTCCAGGTCACTTCAACTGGAAAATAGATTCACTGAGGTGTTTTCAACGGCTTTTAGTCCGGCCCCACAGACAGGACCGTTTGATTTGGCAGACAGACAACAGAGCTCCCAGTCACACAGACAAATGCTCCATAAAGTCTTTCCCCTAAAGTGTTCCCCTGTGATGCTTTTGTGCAACAAAAAAGAATGCAATGGTGTATCCCTTGGGCCAAAACATGTCGCCTGAATTTCTTTACTCATTAAACATCTAGAAGAATTATTTGAGTATTTTTAAACCTGCATTGTTTAAGTAATGTTTGCCAGCTGGTACTCTTCTTCTTCTTCTTCTTCTTCTTCCTCCCCACATTTGCAGGCACACTGCTCCCATTTATTGAGTGTGACCATAGCCATCTGTCCCCACAGGAATGCTGCGGCACCACAGCCAGGGACATGTACTGGCTGCCCACATGCTCATGCACTATACAAAAGACAGAAAAAAGAAAAATGGAAGGCCAACTCATCGAAAAATGCTCCATAGCGCTACCTGTGGTGAAACAAGTTCATGGGGTTCTATTAAGCTACATTAACCTCTTTCTGCCAACATTGAAAACAAAAGGATTGAAACTAATGACAATTAATGCTACCTAAAAAAATCAACGAGTTTGAGTGGATTTCATATGTTGATAATTTCACCCGCTTCACATTGCTATAAGACCTTTCCTTTCCTTCAACAATGCATGTTTTTTATTTAACAATATCTGTTGTAAGTGCAAAATGTATCGTATAACACGAACATGAAGTATCAGATTTCTATTAGAATGTGATTAA